AACAATAAATAATATTAAAAATAATATAAAACTCAGCTGTATAGATGACGTTGTTGATATTGATGAATGGACTGTATGAGATCTTGTGGTAATGGTGTCGAACATCTGAGTATGACGAGTCAGAGTGTAAATCCAGGCACGTAATGGCAGATGAGAACAGACTACGGCAATGATAATGTCTAGTGATGCTCAGAGACCAATCACTAGTGCCGTGCAAGGGCACGTAAACTTTGAGCACAAGGGTACAATAAACAAGTAATAAAAAACTATGGCGTACAACAGCCGAAAAATTTTACCATTCAAGCGAAGGCGCTTGTTACAGAGCAAGGAGTGACAAATATTTTTACTATTCCTATATTTATCATGAATTAAGTAAAAAATTACTTTAATCTAAAGTTTTAGCTTCGTTACTTTACTATGATGTGTTTTTTTTGTGTCTGTTACCACTCAATCTCATATCTCACTGGACCGATTTTGATGAATAATACGTCAAAAGATCACAAATTATATCTAGTCGAGTTCATTACCCTCAAAAATTGAAAAAATTTCCCTCGTTTCCCGTAAATGGGGGAAATCCCCCAATAAATTACAATTTTAAAAATTGGTAATTATCGACATTTTTTCAATTTTTTTTTCTTAAAACTGTGTTAACTTTTTTAAAAATGAACTAATCAATATAATTTTTATTTTTGATACCTTAGGTATTTATCTATTATTTGATATATTTTTGTGAACATTTGCTTCTTTACCTACCTACAGGGGGGTTTCGAAAAGAGAATTTTTTTTACAAAAATTAACTTTTAAACTTAATTTTTTAATATGTTTCGGAAATACTGACACTTTGATATATATATTAAACAAGATCAATATAAATAAAACAATATACTTCAATTTGAAAAAAAAATTGACCTCTGGTCTTGTCTTTATGGTAAATATTGTCACCGTATTCAAAAACATGTTATTTTTGTGTTAAAATATTCGATTTTGTATTTTATTTTATTTTAAAATACTTGACAAGGGTAGTACACAGATTGTCATAAGTCTAATTAACATAGCATAGAAAGTTAAACTTATTTAAATTTTGTTGCTTTTTTAAGTCAAGAAAAATGACTTTGAAATTTGAATTAGCTTAAATTACCATTGTTTTCAATAGACAAATGCAAGGAACGGTTGCCAAGCCGGTAACACTTACGCATTTGGGGTACAAGGTTCAAACCCACCTGTGATTTAAAATTTTTTTTCTTAATTCTTTTTGAGTTAGAAAAATATTTTTAAGTCATTTGATTTTTATCTCATTTAGATTCAATAACTTTAATATAGATCAAGGATCCTATCATTGTAGTCTGCCCTAGTTAGAAGAAATTTCTAATTTACATTAAAATTATTTTACTATATGGTTTTTTTTGGGGCTATCACTTAATTTCTCATATCTCACTCGACCTATTTTTACGATAAAATTTCAAACAAATATTGAGCTTTTCTGATAAATTTACTTTAAATTATAAAATTTACTGACTGCACATTAATCTTAACAATAACATTTTTTTAATTCTCATAAAATTTTCAATTAAATGATGTCGATTTCAAACTTGTAAGTTGTGCTAAAAGTTATGGTAGCAAATTTAACTTTTTTTATTATAAACTTTCACAAAAACAATTTTAAAGGACCAAAAATATAGGTTATAATGTCATTTTGCATTGATTATTTTTAACATAATAAATATCAACGTTAGTATTAATTTAAAAACAATTTTATTTTTGTTTTAATTATTTTTTTTATATGTAAATACTCATTATTTACTAGTTAGTAATAATATGAAAAATTAAAACTGATAGAAAATGTTTTATTGCAGATTTGAAAACAGCATGAAAAGTTGAAAAAGAAAAGTATACTTTTGCTTTTGATGAAAGTTTCTTGTAGTCCAGCGTATTTATTCATAAGTAACTAACAGTTTTTATTGAATAGTATTGCATTAAGCCCTTTAAATTTTTGTACGCGTTAAAAGTAAGGAAATATATGACTACTTTATTATTTTTATAATTTCTCCTTATAAATTACAATATTAAATTATCGAATATCAATTTCTAACTAAATTTAATGACTATAATAAGTATTTATTCATATATTATACTTTTAAACCAAAGAACCACTAATTAGGATATAATTAAGGAAATAAGAGTTTATGTTGCTTTTTTAATAATTCATCAATTTCTTAAAATTAAACTCTATCTACAGATTTGCATCGAAGTGTTTCTTATGATAGTGATTTTAATCACAGTCAGATATCGTCTATACTATGCCCCAACTATGTCACGTCTATACTGTGCCGCGACCCCACTGTGCTGCAGTTTTTTTTTAATTTTACGATTATTTAAATTTTAATCTTAAATGACAAAATTTTCAGTAATTGCGAAATTTAAAACAAATTCTATTTTAAACATTATAAAATATGTTTTAAAGTAGTATCTTTAGATATTTATAATCAAAATTGTATAAGAGTTAAAGTTCCAATGCTCGAAACGATCCCTTTAAATGTTTTGAAATCCTATATTTCCAGTTGACTTCAGTGGACTTCAATTCAACATTGATAATATATTTGAAGAAAATATGATTATTTTTTTATAGATTTATTTATTTGGTATATCTTTTTAAATTATTAAATATATATAATATATAAATTGCACGTCTAGGAGAAATTTATAAAACATTTACAATGATAACTAATAATAACAAAATAATTTCTTATAGTCTAATGGTTATAATAAGTTATATATAATGTTATACAATATTATAATTATTTTCAATGATTTAATAACATTATTTTTAATATTACCATGGGTAACATCATTATGAATGTTTCACATAAATTGGTCATTACTTAACCGTAGGATATAATTTAACCGCTAATTATAAATAGCAGAATGCATTTTCAAATAGTTAGTATTGTAAACATGGAAAATAATAGATAATTTATAGGTTAAATATTAGAAGATTGTAGTTTTTATTATTATTTATTGGAATTCTTATCTGTTGGTTCTGAAATCTATGTCAATATTAAGTTATTGCTTATATTATTTTACAGTCAAATTCATTTTTTTTTTGCTATTTTTAACAATCAATTGTTATTTTCTTTTGAATTTTTTATACATGGAGAAAGTACAGTTTGTGCTAGTATTCTGCATTCCGTTGTTCGTACACAAAACGTATGATATTTTTCAAGAGTATGAATTCAGAAAAACATTTGAGAGATTAAGATTATATATTTGAGTTGGTCAAATAATTGTTTCGTTAAAACATCGTATTTACAACAAACAACTTTTTTATAGGACATTTTTTTGATGATTTAACATCTATTTTTAAAAATAATAGTCTAAAGGTAAGTTTCACATAAGTTTCTAAAATCTATAGATCACGAGTCCTATATTTATCGTACAATGTTGCAATTTCAAGCGAGCTTAGGGAGAGGATAAAAATCATTTCCAAGATGAAAATAATGAATTTTTATCTTACTTGATGGTGGTAGAAAACATTTTTCTTATGTATCTAATGTAAAATTCTGAGTAGGCCACTGGTTGAAACAATCGCAAGAGGCAACATAAGCAATACTTTATTAAGTGGTGCGTTTTACTTGCTAAATAAATATTTTAATTTGAAAGATAGTTAAAAGTACAATTATTTGTTAATGGGGACGTATTTAGAAGATTTATAATAGGGGATATAAAACAAGTTTTTTAATGTTTAAGCTAGTTTTCAATTTTTGACAATAATTTTTTACTTAGAATATAAACAGAGTTAATATACATTTTTATACCAGCTAAGCATGGACCATGTTTTTTAATTTATCACATATTATGTCGATTATATTATCTATTTTGATTTTTGCTGGGAATAAGTTCCTATAAGTTTGCTTTAACTCCAGTTATCTTGGGTATTGTTCTAATATTGGGTAATGAACATGACTCGCGATTTATATTTTTATTAATCAATATATTATATTCAATTATAAAATTATATTGATACAATTAATAGTTTATTATAATATAATTGTTAAGAATTTTAAGTTATACATCGAGTTTCATAGAGGAATGAAGCGCACTCAAGAAAAAACTAAAACTGTAAGCTAATATATTCATACTATCTTCAAACCTAAATTTATATCATTACTACCTTTTAGTAATTAACTGTCAAATATACAGGTTTATAATTTTTAAGTATTTTTTGAAAAAGAGAATATGCATCTTTACTAAGTTTATGGATTAAGATCTATATACTATACTACCATAAAAAAGTGACGAACAAAAAAAAAACCCCGAAAAACTATGTGTGCACTAGTAATGATTTGTAATGTTTGTAACGAGTAATCACTAGTAAAATTTGTGATGGGCCCTTTAAACTCATGATGTGCTTTTAATCTGTTTCTAGATCACTGATTCGCATTGATTTTTTTTAATTTGAAATTATCACAAACCGTTTAATTTCTTTTGATGAGCTAAATTATGGTAGTTTTTAGGGAACAGAGTACTTTAGCTTTTTTGATAATTTCCTTTTGGGTTAAAAATTATCTGGAATAGCTTAACCCGGATAAATAAATTGATTCCCTAAATTATAGTTATCGATTTTTAGTGCGCACTATTTACCGCCCTTCCTTATAATTAAAATTATGTACAGACTAGAGTGTATGCATAACTTAATGTATAAATATTAAACTACTTCTATTACTCTGTTATAGTTAGCGATGGATAAAAATACAGAAAGTTAAAGACGTAGCAATGAAAGATTAAGTTGAGATTAAAGATTTTCTTTTTAGCTAATTATTTACAAAATTTAAATTGAATTTAATTAGATTAATAGTTACTAAGTATTAAAATTGATAATTTTTTTTTTAATTTTAAGGAATGCTATTTTGTGTGAATATCATTATTTAATTTTTAAAATAAATATATTTATAAATATAAATATTAAAATTTTTACTTAAAATAATTAACTATTTATATTAATTAAAATTTTGTGTTTATAATTAATCTTTATTTAAATATTAAAGATAAAATATTCTTATTACGCAACTTTATATTAACGTTAATACATTTACAAAAAATATATTTTTCCATCTCACCATTTACACAAATCGTTGTTTAACAATAGGTTATATTTAATTATGATTAAATAAATTAAATTAAATTATAAATTATATCTTTTATTAAAAACCTATCTTAAATTGTTTCTAAAGTTAGTTCAATGACATTATGAGCGCTTATAAGGTCTCGTCCGAGTCTTTTTGGAGTGCTATTTGTAACTGTTGGTGTATGTAAACTTTTTCTTCATCAACTTTTTCAGGATCTTTGAAAGGGTTTAGTTCACCTCTCATTTCACATATGATTTTTGTTAGAGCTATGATGTAATTTTTTGCCAATGTCAAAGTCTCGATTTTTGACAAACGTCTATCTTTTTTAACGTGTGGTATGACTTCTCGAAGTGACTAAAACATTAAATATATACGTGAACAATAATTATAAATAAATAAATTTTGTCAAAATTTTTTACATCCAATAAAAATTAACGAGAAATGAAATACTTAAAAGATTATTGGCATTTCAGTCAGTTAGAACCGTGATTTTTTAATGTCTAAAACAATGAATAAACAAAGGTTATATTTAGGGTAGGATTTAAAAATATCGAGGTTGGGAGCCCAGTTATTTTTATAAAATAATGTAGAAAGTAAATCAAATTTCTAACTATTAATGTTTTCAACATCGAAATTTATAAAAATATCATTTATGTAAATTTTGATTGAAAATCTATTTTCATTTTCTGTTGTTATTATGAGGTTAGGTACCTTTAGCTTGAGTGTAAATTTGAATTTGATGATCAATGATGTTAATATATAAACTACAATTTTGATGTTTAATCATACAATGTCCATCAAATACACGATATAACGTTTTTGCGTAATTAAAACAACAAGAAATGTCCTACTCTTTCCTCTTTATGCGTGTAGAAATTGAGTTTCTCTTAGTTGCTATAGTAACAGGTAAAGTATATAATCGTTTATTTCATCTTCTGTGGTGACATATAGACAAATCATCCTTCTTTCTATAACTTACTGCTTCGTAAGAGTGTACTTCACTTTTTAAGTAAATACTTTTTTTAAGATAGTTCCTATCTTTTGTTGAAAACCTTTTCGAAATAAAACAACTAAACTTTTACAACTGATATCCATAAGTTAACTTGATCAAAATTGTATAAATATTTGTTTTCTTAAATATAATTAAGAAAATAGTTTAACGTCAAATGATACAAGTTATATTATATTTAACTGTTATCTTTAAATAATTACATTTTTTACATTCATTTCAATTAAAAATAATTAATATTATATCAATTTAATTTTTATTATAATATGAATAATATAAATAAATAAATCTATTGTTTTACCATTACAAGTATATTGATATTAATACGAAGGAAATATCTTTAAGCATGATTACACAAAACTTTATTTTCTTTATTTGAAATAAAAGTATATAATATATATATATATATATATCGATGATCGGTTTATCATAAACCTCTCTATTAATCTCAAAGTAAATACAGTATTGAATAAATAATTTTCGAGTTAAACTAGTTATATATTTATTTTTGATATATTTTAGTTACTCATAATTATTAACAATTTAATTAATGACTGGAGGTGAGGAGTAGATGCTACTATTTTTATTACTAGTCTTTTCCCGGTTGTACTCAACGTCCCACTACGGTATAAAAATGAGAATGACTTTCGGTATACTAGTCCAGAAGTTGTTATCGACTAGTAATTTTCTTAATTAGATTATTTCCTATTTTATAAGTTAGTTAAATATGTATGTTTCCATTTAAAAAGATAAAGTTGAAACCCCTTTAAGTTATAAGGGATGATTCTAAAAAGTAATTATTAGCTGATAAATCAAGAAATATATGTAACTAAAATATATCAATAATTATTTTTCCAATATTGTATTTATTTTGTGAGTAATCGAGTGGTTTGTGACCACAAATACCTTATACTCCATACTCCAAATACTCCATATACCTTAGGAGGTTATATTAGAAAATTGATTGGCAAAGCTTTATAGTTCTTACTGACAATTTTTTATAATACTACCAACATGTATCAATATGGCTACATGTTGACGAATTTGGATTTAAAACTGTGCCAGAAAATTCTACTTACGTATATTAACGACAATACTAATGTACTATTACTTTTTTAAACTCTACCTCTTTAATACTAAGAAAAAAAGTTTAATTACTCTTATGTTTAAAGTTTTCATTTTATGTTTAAATATTGAATACACCACAATTACTTAACTTATCAATCATGTTTTCGCTAACAATTAGAATAATTTTTAATCAATACAAAATTTAACTTAAGTGACAAACTTTCATTTTTGATGTTATTCTGAAAAAACTTCTATAGTTTTTCTAAGTATTTTTCTAGACCAAACCTTACTTAATAAAGTTTATATTTCGAAAATTAAATTGAAATTAAAACAAATTGAAATATTAGATAGATATTTTAGCTTTAAATGTTGTACATTTAGGTTTCTAGCGTAATAGTTCGATACATAATTATACATTTAGATTGTAATAATAACTTTTTTTAGATCATTAAAACTATCATTGTTTAACGCATTCGTATTAATTTCATAATCAAATATAAAATAAAAAAAATATTCTACATATTTGTTGTTTCCGGTTTTAAAAAAATTTCTTTTTAACAGCCAATTATGTATTTAATCGATTTTAGTACCTGGAAAGCGTCATTGATACTATGCATACGAAGTCTTTCTCTCTCATTGCTTTCCAGTCTTCTAACGTTTTTATCTTTGCCACTGGTTTTACGTTTTCTCCGACTGCCCGTTCTGCCCATGCTGACACTGCGACTTTGTCCATCTGAACCAGTACACGTATCATCACTTATCTATTATAGATTCATTTCCGCTAAGTATTCTTCATCATATTATAATAGAAAATAATCTGTTTATAATAAAATTTTCACATACTGATGAGGAGTCGGTAAGTTCGAGTTCCCGTTGACAGGATGTTCGAGCTGACTTACGGCATGTTAATCCAGTAATTGTTAACACATTTCTAGTTTCATCTGTTTCGTTGGATGGATCAGATCTCATTTTACTGCAAGTCTATTGCATTTAAATTAATATGTCAATAACTAGTAACATAAAATAATTATATTTAATATAATAAACTACATTAAATTTAATATAATAAAAGGTTACTGAAATTTTGTTTGGTATTCTATTAAAAAATCTTTAGTACACCACTGATTATAGTACATTTTATTATTTTTAGTCCCTTTTTATGAAAAATTTTAATTATTCGTTAACAATTTTAGGACAATTATTTATTTTGTTACGTGCATTTCAATACATATAGTAGATATGTAGCACAGGTGGTGTACACCCAAAGAAAAACCTCAATCAAAATTGAAAGAGAAATTTTATCAAGGGTTTATGATAATGTTTTATTAATACGAACAAAATAACTATTTTTATAAATAATTATTGTTCAAGACAAGAAAAAAAAATATCATATTGATAAATATATCATTGATTCAATAGTAATGATATATTTATCAAATTGAACAATGAATTTATTATATAGATCGAGGTTTTTCTCTGGGTGTATGTATTATTAATATACACCAGTATAAGTGCACCTAACCTCACTATATACATACTTTATGTTTTAAAATGTTGGTAACTCAACGGATACTTATTCTAAAACATTAATTATCCGACCAAAATTTTTGTAAAACAAATAGCTATTTTAAAATTAAAAAAAAAAAAAATTTTTTTTGCTTTTATTTAATTTTTTTATGAGTAATAAATAACAAAAAGAAAAAACGGTTTAAACGTAGTCTAAGAAGGAATTTATTATTATAAAAAATATTCAACAAAATGATAATTATATCAAAAGTTATAAGCGTTATCACTTAGTCCTGAAACACCGTATATAGTAGTGAGGGGAATATTGAATAGTAACTATCGAACTATTCGATAGTCATTCAAAAACTATTCAAATAGTAAAAACATTCGATAGTTACACAATCCATTCAAATAGTTTTTAAACTATTCGAATAGTTTTTTAAATATTTGATAGTTTATGCTAAAATAAACTATTCGGTTGTGTAAACACAATTTGAATAGTTTTTAAAACTATTCGATAGTTTATGCTAAAAATAAACTATTGGGGGGATTACCACGAGCGGAATCAAATTTTTACATGGCACATTTCATGTTAATGAACAATAATATGAATTTGTAAATTTTTTTTCATCAATCTGCCGCTATATATTAAAATCGTAAGCCCTTCTAAATAAGCTGTTATATCCTAAAATTGTAAGACAGAATAGATAAGATCAGATTGATCACTTTAAAAAAATGTCCATTATTTCTTATGAAGATCCTTAATTTTAAGCCTAAATGAATTAGTGTAACCATAATTGAAACGATAAAACATCAATTGTTGTAAAAATATATTTTACTGGTGTAAATTTTTTGGTAACTATTCATGTGTAGGTTGTCACTTTGACAACTATGCAATCGTACTATGCTTAAGAGAATTATGCTGTCTGGACAGTCTTAAAAATAATCTATTAGGGTCATAACTCGTTTTATACATGTCAAAACTCAAAAGTAGTTACTTTTTTTTTATTTCGTTTGACAATAATCATTATTGATTAGTTATGAAAACTTTTAGAGAGGAAGCAGTATAGAAACTATATATCTGTTATTCAAATAGTTGATCAATAATAACCCTAACTTAAAGATGAGGAAAAATTATGTCATTAATTGTAACACTTTCGATCTATAAATTATAAATGATACATATTTTAATTAATTTTTCTTTTACATCATAATAAAAATAAAAGTTTGTTTATATATATAGAATTTTTATAGGATCCGAGAATAAATTAAGATTGAATGGTATCAATTTAAAACCCACCTTTTCTATTTTTCTAGTATTTACTGATTTTTAAACCAATAATTTATGAATTTTAAACATGTATTTTATAATATAGGTAAACTTTATTACTAATAACTATAAACTGATAATTGATCAAATGGATTAATTTCTCTGTTTATTAATAAATAGCCATTGTAATGTAAAAATAATTTAATATGGTTGAAAAATGTCATCTTCAATTATCAACTTTAAGACATGAAAATTTGAAATATGAGATATGTGATTCTTCTCTGTAATCAATAGAACTATATTAATATGTATTATAAAACATTTTCATTGTAAAAAGTTTCAATGTCATTAATTATATAAATTAATTTTTTAGGACAATGTAAAAGCAATTTTTTGCAACTCTTGTTATATTTCTTACGGAATATTCAATTATTTTTAATATAATTTTAAGAGTTAAATTAATATTTGAATATTTACTACAATATAACTAAAAATAAGTGTAGTATTTTTTATTTAATAACTAATATTGAGTTATCAAAGTAAAATAACTAAGTAACATTAATAACATAGGGGAAATATTCACCTTCCGCATTTAATTTTTTTTTTTATTGTTATTCAGTCTAAGCCACACCTGTAATCTTTAATTACTAATAAATGTACAGTTTTATACGGATATATTTTTACAATAAAAAATTAATTTAAAGTAATTTATTTTGTAATTTTGTATTGTCTAATAAATATTTATTAGTTTTTGTATTATTTATTTATATAATTTAATCAAATTTAATGTATGAATGATTCTTTTTTAATACGTACAATTGTATGGACCTCATGTTGGTTCAATTGATTGAAATACACACAAAATGGGAAATTTAATCGAAGGACGATAGGGAGACATCGTATCAGTCACCATGGAGATAGGGATTACGAATGAATATTATTATGTTCACATTGGTACTAAAAAAATAAATAAAACAAACATCTAAACACAGACTTTAAACAAAGTGTCACTAGTGATGAAGTCCACCATGATAAAGGGTGAAAAACAAATTTCCTGCTTGCTACTTTCACTCGCACACATATAAGAACTTTATCTTTATATGTGATCCAAACTTTTCGACCTATTTAACGGTATCGTGGTTCTTTCTATTTGTCAAACTGTCTAGCATTTCCGCCTACAGCGCCGGACTGTTATAAAAATCCATTTATATTCTATTTCGTTTTTCACATATTGGCTATAAGATCACAAAACGAGATAGTAATGTACATACATTTAATGTACAATTTATGCTTGAAATTAATGGGAATAATAGGCGCTGGATTAATAAAGGTTCCTCGGTGAGTAGAATGAATAGATTGCCATTTTATCTTAATAAAAATTGAAAAATAAAAAATTATGATAAACGTCATAAATTACTATTAAGATGTCACATTGCAAAACTATTTTATTTTAAAACTATATTTTTAGATTTTAGTATCCTTTTGCATAAAAAATGTTATTACAACTGAATAGTTGTACTATAAGTACCAAAATAGTAAACATTAATATTACCAGAAAAATATTAGATGAAGAATTCCTTACTGGACCAAAACATGTAAGCAGACTTCTAGAATGAAACTATTCTCTATGGACTCTATGACAACTTTGACAAGGTTTTACTTTCTTAAATCTTATAAAATGTTAAAAGTATAAGAACGTTAACAAACAAATGTAATATTGTGTGTTGTTCGCACATAAAATAGTATTTGTGGAGGTTGACTTCAAAAAATAAAAACGAACATTTTAAAGGTACGTATCTAAATTTTTTGAATCAACGGACTACAGATTTGTAGTCCATTAAGTCAAATAAAAGATAAATTAATCATTTTTAATTTTATGAGCAGAACATGCGTATAATGAGAAAGTAAATAACGTATATTTTTACAAGTCTTAAAGTTTTCATATATTTGAAATTCTAGTAATTATTTTAATAGTATATTGTACGACAATCAACATATTTGATTAATAATTGTGGTATGGCCCAACAAGTGAAATATATTATACAGTCTACCTAATTATAATAATAACATACTATTGTCAAAATACGAATTAAGTTGGTATAAATATACATTTTCCTGTACCATTTTACATTTACATGCTAAATGATACTAACTGTAAACATCACTAAACAGCTGTTCAAACGTTCGTTTAAAATTAAATGCGTACCTTGTATTAATAAACAAAACTATATTATACGGAATTAATGCATTAAAGACTAAGGGTCTGTTAAATAATTGTTTTTTAATCATCTCGTATTTTGCGTATTATTCAAAAACTTAACTAAGATTTTAATTTTAATATTATTTAAACATAGTTATTTGTGAAATTAAATTTTATATTTTTGAAACAATATTTTATTTAAGTAGTTTAAATAAATTGAAAATAGGTACACAATAAGAAGTTTAGAGCTGTTCGTTATTTAAAATGTCAACATTTAAATTATTAGGACACTTTTATAAAAAATGATTCAATATGGAGCAGTTTTTCATGTATTTGATTATTGCCATATATATATATAAATATTTATCTGATGTAAACCATGAAAGTAAATCAATTTAATTAAATTATTTTTTGATGATTTACAGCCATTTAAAGTTTTTTTATTTATTACTTCTGGAAATTTTTATTATACCAAAAAGAAAAAAAATCTTAATGTCAGTCTAAGTAATTCCAACTAGTAAATGAAAATTATGAATATTCAGAGTAAACTAAATTGGTCTATAGGACGGAGTCAGTTTTTTAGAATGTAATGCACAAGAAAAAAATAACCCTAATACAAAAACTTTTTATTTTCAAAATTAGAAAAAATGAACAGTACCCATTTAGTTATAAGTATGAGGACTCCATCAGATTTGCTGATAATTTTATTTGTGCTTAAAATTATATAAGTATAGTAGGATGCACGTTATTTATATATGAAGATTTTTTTTGAAATTTGAAGAATGCCACCCGAAATTATTTTCCTATGGATCTAAAAGTATTATCTGCGAAATTTGAACTTTATATGACATGATTAATTCTAAGGTCAAAATTCAGAGAAAATATAAACATTTGTAATTTTTGGGATATGTTAACGCAATATTTAATTTTTAAAAAAAATTGTTTAGCGAAATTTTTAAAGAATTTGTAATTAATATAATTTACCAATAAAAGTATCATTTCCTA